CACCTGAAAGGTCAGATGACCTATTATTGATCCACTGGCTTGGTAACATACATAAACAACTCCCCAAAATAAATAAAAGTAAAAAAAACAAGAGTAAAATTGCTCAAGTATACTTTCCATGGACAGATTTGGGGTCAACTAAACCATAAAAAACCATACCCCATTTTAAAAAACAATCCTCTGTGTGAAAAAAAAAACATTCATTGTCCAGGGAGGGAAGTGAAAATATTATTTGTTTTTGTGCATCCAGAATTATTTCCCCATTGCTCTCCTTTTCAATGTTCTCAGGTGAATGGCTTGTTGACGCGTCTGCCTTACAACATCAGAAGCAATGAGATCCTCCTCTACCGGAAAGGGAAAGAGGCAGTGGTCCAGACTGACTTCCACCTGACTGTCACCTTCGACTGGCAAAATCGGGTCACTGTGACTGTGCCCAGCACTTATGCCAATGCCCTTTGTGGTCTCTGTGGGAACTTCAATGGCAACAAACTTGATGAGATGACCATGAAAGATGGGAAAGTGGCTCTGAGTCCATCCTCCTTTGGTGAGAGCTGGAAAATGCAGGAGGTACCAGGCTGCACTGAGATGGACAAAGAAGAATGTCTGGGCTGTCAGCCATTGAGAGCCACCAACGCCACCTTGGGAGGGAATGCGGGCTCATCCTAGCCAAGAGGGGCCCTTTTCAACGGTGTCACAGCACAATTGAACCTGAGGAATACTTCCAGGATTGTGTCTATGATTCTTGCTTTTTTGAAGGCCAAGAAGCTGTGATTTGCCAAGCCATCGCCAACTATGCAGAAGCCTGTCAGGCAGCTGGCGCAAGCCTTGAGGCATGGAGAACCAAAACCTTCTGCAGTAAGTGCCAACTATCCTGAGTAGATTGTCTGGGCGAAAGAAAGCATGTGTATAATGTGTGTGTAAAAGAAAGGAATACTATGTGTTTTCTGTTCAGGCTGTGGTTAAAGTAAACCTTCCACAGAAGAAAATATGTATTTTAACAGTCCAGAGTGACAAAACTTGGCTCCACCTGAATTTGTACTTAGATACTTTGGTGCCAGATTGGCAGATACAGGAGGGAGCAGGATTCCTTATATTTTATATGAGGCAAGAATACAAAAGATAAGAAATGTATTCTACCACTGAAGAGGAGATGAGAAGAATCATAGAATCATAGAGTTGGAAGTGACCTTGTGGGCCATCCAGTCCAACTCCCTGCCAAGAAACAGGAAAATCTCATTCAAAGGACCCCCGATAGATGGCCATTCAACCGTTGCTTAAAAGCCTCCAAAGAAGGAGCCTCCACCACACCCCAGGCAGAGAGTTCCACTGCTGAAAACTCACACAGTTACAAAGATCTTCCTAATGTTCAGGTGGAATATTCTTTCCAGTAGTTTGAAGACATTTTCCCGAGTCCTAGTCTCCAGGGCAGCAGAAAACAAACTTTCTCCCTATGACTTTTCTTCACATATTTATACATGGTCCTCATCACGACTCCTCTCAGCCTTCTCTTCTGCAGGCTAAACATGCCCAGCTCTCATAGGCCTTGTTCTCCAGAGCATTGATTGTTTTAGTTGCCCTCCTCTGGACACATTCCAGCTTGACAATATCTCCCTTAAACTGCAGTGCCCAGAATTGGACACAGTATTCCAGGTGTGGTCTAACCAAAGCAGAACAGAGGGGTAACACGACTTCCCTGGATCTTGATACTACACTTCTACATATGCAGGCCAAAATCCCATTGGCTTTTTTAGCTGCTGTATGACTTTGTTGGCTCATGTTTAACTTGTTGTCCACAAGGAAGGATGATTGGATGACAAGTAACAAAAGAGGACAAGAGAATCATATTGTCCTCCTAGCTCTTGTTGAGCTACAATTCCAAGCATTCCACCTGCTGGTTAGGGCAGATATTACTTATTGTCCATCTGTCGAACCTTCTAATTATATCAGTTGAAGCTATAGCATCTTTATCCATCTTCAAAAACATCTGGGAAAATAGAAAATTGGGGTGGAAGGGAGAGTGGATTTGAGGAAAGATGGAACCAGATGAGGTTCCAGATGTCTTATTGTCTGCCTGAAAGATTCTATGACCATGGTATCCACCAAATAGAAGCAGTTTGTGTGCCACCCTGGATAGACTGAATTTAGCATGTCATTTTAGATTTGTTTATTGATCAGCCTGTTTCATGTTTTCTTTCACCTTTTTCTTTCCAACTACCAGGTCTGCCTTGTGCGGCAAATAGCCACTATGAACTCTGTGCCCAGGACTGTACCCAGGCTACCTGTGGCAGCATCTCTGTCCCTGTCCCTTGTTCATCCAAATGCCAAGAAGGTTGTGTGTGCAATGAAGGCTTTGTGCTGAGTGGAGATCAGTGTGTCCCTGTGTCCCAATGTGGTTGCTTCTATGAGGATCGCTATTACTTGGCAGAAGAAACATTCTACCCAACATGCCAGAAGCGTTGCGTATGCCAGCCTGGAGGGACTTTGAAGTGTGAAGCTGTCTCCTGTGGTCCCAATGAAGAATGCAGGCTGCTTGATGGCATCCGGAAATGCCACTCAATTGGCAATGCTACCTGCTCGGTTTTTGGCATCCCTCACTATGTTTCCTTTGATGGACTATACTATCATTTCCAAGGCACGTGCACATATACCTTGGCTAAAACTAATACGGAAAATGGGAAACTGCCTCATTTCACTGTGAATGTGGAGAATGAGGTTTATGGTGATGGGAAGAGCTCGGATACCAAGGCAATCTCTCTCATGGTGTATGGACTTACAGTGACATTAGTGCAGAACAAACCAGGACAAGTGAAGGTGAGTATGTTTTGAAAGGAAATGGTTAAATTTAGATCATGTTGCAGTTACAAATAAAAACATTAACAAATAAAAAATATTACTTTTCAAAGTTATTAATGATGTAATTGATTAGAAGGCAGTCCTCCATTTCAATCATTGTTGGTAAAATGGCCTGCTGTGAATCCGTAACCATTTATTTATTTACAGTATGTATATTCTGCCCTTCTCACCCCTCAAGGGACTCAGGGCGGATTAAAAATGCACATATACATGGCAAACATTCAATACAAGGTAGACATACAACATATATAGAGAGACACAGAAGCAATTTAATATTCCAGCTGTGCCCAAGCTTTTCTTGCTTCATGAGGGTACGCTGGATCCTGACTCAATTCTGGTGACAGGGGGAACTGCTGCTTCACCATCCATTGTGACATCAAGTCCTTTGATGGAGTACTTCCTCATTCTTCTGCACGCTGCTGAAAGGTTTTATGGTGTTGTATATTAGTTAAATTAGCCTCCCCACATAAGTGGTACCTAAATTTCCTACTTGACAGATGCAACTGTTGTTCAGGCTGCATAGGTCAACAGCAAGCTAGATGAATAGCTGGAAGCTCACTCTGACCTGGGCAGGCCTTGAACTCATGGCCTCTCAGTCAGTAGTGATTTAATGCAGTTAGCTCTCAGCTAACTGTACCACAGCCTGGTTGTATGTTGTTGTTCTGTCATGTTTTTCTTTTCTCTCTCTCTTCAAAATAAGAAGAGAATGGAATAAAAATGGAAAGTTCTAATTTTATTTATTTAATTGTTGGAATCCCCTTAGCAAAATTAACTAGGAATGTTATCATTTTAAATCAAAAGGATTGTTTCCCCACTCAATACTTTACTCCTGAAATTTGCCTGTGTTCTGCCCAAAAGGTAAATCACTGCAGATGTCCCCAATGTGTATGTCTAATTACTTCAAAGTCCTGGTTGTTTCTAAAAATGTGATATCCTCAACTGCAGGGATATGCTTCCTCTCCAGTTTATTTTTGGCTATCGGGCATGACTTTTGAAAACAAACAGACGTGACTTAATACAAATTGTTTTCCTCTTAGGTGAATGGTGTTTTCCAACCACTTCCCATGACCCTTTCTGTTTCCGGAGGACAGCTTAGAGCCTACCAGCATGGCCTGAAATTATTGATACAAACAGATTTTGGCCTCATTGTGGGTTATGACTTGATTTACCACATGATAGTCACTGTCCCGGGCATATACCGAGGTGAAATGCAAGGCCTATGTGGGAACTACAATGGAGTGAAGAATGATGAGTTTCTACTCCCTGACAGCAGGACAACCTCTGACGTAGCTACATTTGGGGCTGCCTGGAAAGTTCTGATTCCTGGGAGAGAAACATCCTGTTCGGATGGATGCACTGGGAGTAGCTGCCTGGTCTGCGAGGAGAGGAAGAAGGACATGTTCAAGCAGCGCAACTACTGTGGGATCCTCAATGCATCCAATGGCCCCTTCAAAGCTTGCCACAGCCAAGTGGACCCCAGTGTGTACTTCAACACCTGTGTTTATGATGTGTGTCTGGCCAATGGGGACAGCTCCGCATTGTGCCAGAGCATCCAGAGCTATGTGTCTGCCTGCCAAGGGTCCGGAGCTTCTGTCCAGCCTTGGAGAACTCCATCCTTTTGCCGTGAGTTATGTTTATGCAGCACACTCTATCCAACTGGAATAGATCAACCTTTTATCTTCTTTGCATGATGGCAATATTTACCCATTCCCCACCTTCCCTGTCCTTTTTTGTGTAGACAATCTTTCCATCTAATTCAGTTATTTGTCTAATTTAGCTCTCAGTTGTCCAGCCAACAGTCACTATGAGGTTTGTGCAAATCTCTGCTCCACCAGCTGTACCAAGATTACTGACACCAGAGCATGTCCAGAGGGCTGTGCAGAGGGCTGCCAGTGTAACAACGGCTACTTTTTTGATGGTCATGGCTGTGTTCCTGTAGAAAGTTGTGGATGCTTCAAGAATGGACGCTATTACAAGGTAGGCTTATCTTGGCATCTACAGTCATGATCCTATTGGGAAATTGGGAGTGGAAGTCTCCACCCATGCACTCCAGGTAGTCTCTGGAGTGAAGGCTACTTTCTCTTCTTCAATATTGACTGGTGGCTTGGTTGCCTTCGCACATATTGGAGGGTATATTCATAGAATCAAAGAGTTGGAAGAGACCTCATGGGCCATCCAGTCCATCCAGTAATTCCTTCAAACAGACTGCATTCTAGCAATAACGCAGAATTTATTTACTCTTCCCACCACCCATTGGAGCCCCTGGTGGCACAGTAGTTTAAACCCTTGTGCTGGCAAGACTGAAGACCGACAGGTCGCATGTTTGAATCAGGGGAGAGTGTGGATGAGCTCCCTCTGTCAGCTCTGGCTCCCCATGTGGGGACATGAGAGAAGCGTCTTACAAGGATCATAAAACATCAAAACATCCAGGCATCCCCTGGGCAACATCCTTAAAGACAGCCAATTCTCTCACACCAACTTGCAGTTTCTCAAGTCTCTCGAAAAAATCCACCCGTTTAGTCTTAATCTCTTTGTTACTCTTCTAGCCCAATGAGCAGGTTCTTCTGAACAGATGCCAGGAGCGCTGCCGCTGTCTCCCAGGCCAGGAATTAACCTGTGAGGCTCACAGCTGTCCCACTGATGAAACCTGTGAAATCCAGAATGGAGTCATGGCTTGCGTTGAGAAAGGTAAATAACATTTTTTAATTCCTCTGGCTATGATGAATATTAAATGACTGCAATCTTTTCCCTCACCCTTGACAAGAAAAAGGGATCTTGACAAAAAGGGATATAATATTTTAAAATCTATAAGCCATACCAAGATTGTGTCCTCCCCATATGAAATTGGCATGTTTTTCTTGCCAGTAATGGTGATAGCTAACCCCTCTTAAACTCTTTCCTAAACTCTTAATGAAAGTAATTCTAATCCCTTGCTCTCTTGCTCACAGGGAGGAAATTTGTCTATTTTTTTTGTTCACACATGGAAACAAAATAATGGCAATTATATCCCAGCTTGCATATTTACTGAGTCAGCCTTCTCTTGAACTGTTGTGTATATGCAAGAATAATCTGGTTGACCAGTGCACTCAAAGATATCGTAGTGCAAAAATTCAACGAAATACTTTCATGCAACTTTTACCAAAAAGGCCCCATATATTATAAATCCTTAATAAATATATATTCTTAAAAATCATATTGATTGAAGACTTTCCTTTTTATCTTTTCTTCTTCCATATGAGACATCTCAGCCTCTATATATGCACTTTGTGAGAGTCTTTTCACCTGTTGTGAGAGTTTTTTCACCTGCTGCATTCACAGATCTAAGATGTCCAGCAGCAAGTCATTCATTGAAAGTGTCTGTTACCATATACAAAGTTTTAGTATATATTATCTACTACATTTCTGTATTAAATTAAAGCACACATTTTCCAGTGTGTACATCTTTTATGGATTTGTTCTTCATCCATTTTGAATTGCCAACTGCTGTCAAACGACAAGCACTAAGCAAAATTTCTTCATTTGTAATTTATTGGCATCCAGTCCCCAAAATAACAAGACCACACAACAATATGGGATTAACTATGGGCAATTTTTATTAATGTTATCTAATTAACCTTCTGTGACTTGCAAAAGCTTTCTAAAGGGTGCATGAACTTGGAGTGAAATAAGCTGAGGGAGTGGCCATCTAGGACCTACTCCACGGCTAACTTGGGTGAAACACCTGGGTCCCCCCAGCTGTAATAAGCTGTACCCTTTCCAGGGCACTCAGGGAAATGTAACTGAGAATTCTGCACTAGCTCAAAAAGATTTATTGAGGCCAGAAACTGGCTTTTTGGTGCTTTTGGAAGTTTATTTATTTATTTATTATTCGAACTTATATGCCGCCACTCCCCTAAGGCTCGGAGCGGCTTACAAGAAGTTGTGCTCGAATCCAGTCACTTGTCACTTCTTCCTTTTGGTCACTGGAATTTTCTGATCTTTTGACTTTATGATGTCGTAAAATCACCTATTTAGTGGGATCCTATGGTTCTGTCCCAAAGCCCAGAGGATACAAGAGGAAGTGATCAATGTTAAAGCCATTGCTTTCCATGGGATCCTACTGATCTGCATGGAACCCCAGGGAATACAAGAGGAAGTGATCAAGGTTAAAGCCATTGCTTTCCATGGGATCCTATTCATTTGCATGGAACCCCATAGGACACAAGAGACTGCTGACAGTTGGACAATGAAACAGGATGGGGAAACTCTGATCCCACCCCACCTATTTTTCAAGTGTAAAGATGGGAGTAAAGTGTGGTAAGAGGGAGAAGCTCTGAACAGGATTGCTGGCCCGACTGCATCTCCCTCCTCAAGGCCGCCACAGCACCAACAGGCCCAGGAGGGCCTCCCCATCGCCCTCCTCAAGGCCGTGGCGGCTCCCGGTGATTTATTGCTTTTTGATGTTTGTTCCTTTTGGCAATGAATGTTTACCACTTGGTTCTTTTGTCCGTAAACCGCCCTAAGTCCCTTTGGGGAGATAGGTCAGTGTATAAATGACACATTATTAATATTATTATATTGCTGGCCCCTGTTCATTTTTTTTTTTGTTAGGATAGAGCTGCGTAATGTGATTTATTTTTTTTCAAGGTGGCCAATTGATTTTAACTTTTTATTATTGCAGTTTTACATATTCAGTGCTTAAACATTCTTATAATTATCACTTGCCCTTAACAAATTATATACAGAACTTATATGTCTTAATACCTATAATATATATTTCATCCTCTCACTTTATTACATTTTGTCCAATCACCTAGTGCTGACCCTTCACCCTAGACCAGACAATTGCATTACTTATTTTCAAAATTCCATTGTTTCTATTACAGGTTTGGTCCCCTTCCCTTCTATATATACATATTCTATCAGTTTTCCCCATATCTTCAAAAACTCATTTTTTTTCCAGTACTCCTCTTAATCTTTATACTACCTGTCACTTTATCGTTTATTGCAGTATCCCAGATCCCTCTACCAGTCTTCCAATTGGCACTCCCCTCCTTCTTTTTTCGCTATTAACAATCTTGCTGCTGTTACCAGATTGGCAATTAATTCCTTTAGCTCCTTTGATATTTTAACATTATCAATAAGTGATAGCAGTGCTATTTCCGGCGTTCCTGTTATCTCTACTTGGGTGATTGCTGGCCCCTGTTCAGAGCTCCCTCCTTTCAGGACATTTCAGCCTCTTTTCAACCCTGGAACATTGGATGATGAGCTCAGTGCTTCTCCATGCTAGGAAAAAGGCTGGAGTGCCCTATGAAGGGGAAATTTCTCAATGTGAGGAGGTTGTTGGAGGATGAGCCATAGTCTCTCAGCCTCAGAGGAAGGCCAAGCAAAGCTCTCTTTATAGTGAGGGAGCGTGGCTTAGAAGTGCAAAGAGGAAGGTCTGAAGCCCCCCTCGCTCGGCCCTGGATGGATGTGGGCAAGGCACACTCAGAGGAAGGCCGTGGCAAAGCCCTTTAAGGACAAGTGACTGAGCCTCCCAGATGAAGATGAAGAGACCCCAAGCCCCCCGCCACGTCAATATCACTCATGCCAGATCACAATCACAGCCAGGTCTCCTCT